ATATTTATATATTTTTTGTGTATAGGGGGAAAATACAAAATTTTTAAGGGAAACTCTGTCGAATTTTTTTAAAATTTATAATGAATTGTGGAAATTTAAATACTTATAATATGATATTGATAATTATATTAAGTCTCCAATCAAGATTAAGTAATTTTTTGACAGTTTCTTATTTTGGTTTATCTTGTTTTCGTTGATTGTATTTTTATATATATTTTGTGTACAGGGGGAAAATACAAAATTTAAGGGAAACTCTGTCGAATTTTTTTAAAATTTATAAGGAATTGTGGAAATTTAAATACTTATAATAAGATATTGATAATTATATTAAGTCTCCAATGAAAATTAAGTAATTTTTTTGACAGTTTCTTATTTTGGTTTATCTTGTTTTGGTTGATTGTATTTTTATATATATTTTGTGTATAGGGGGAAAATACAAAATTTAGGGGAAACTTTGTCAAATTTTTTTAAAATTTATAATGAATTATGGAAATTTAAATACTTATAATATGGTATTGATAATTATATTAAGTCTCCAATAAAGATTAAGTAATTTTTTTGGTAGTTTCTTATTTTGGTTTATGTTGTTTTGGTTGATTGTATTTTTATATATTTTTTGTGTACATGGGGAAAATACAAAATTTAGGGGAAACTCTGTTGAATTTTTTAAAAATTTATAAGGAATTGTGGAAATTTAAATACTTATAATATGGTATTGATAATTATATTAAGTCTCCAATGAAGATTAAATAATTTTTTTGACAATTTCTTATTTTTGTTTATCTTGTTTTGGTTGATTGTATTTTTATATATATTGTGTACAGGGGGAAAATACAAAATTTAGGGGAAACTCTGTCGAAATTTTTAAAAATTTATAAGGAATTGTGAAAATTTAAATACTTATAATATGGTATTGATAATTATATTAAGTCTAATGAAGATTAAGTAATTTTTTTGATAGTTTCTTATTTTGGTTTATCTTGTTTTGGTTGATTGTATTTTTATATATATTTTGTATACAGAGGGAAAATACAAAATTTAAGGGAAACTCTGTCGAATTTTTTTAAAATTTATAATGACTTGTGGAAATTTCAATAATTTAATTATGATATTTATAATTATATTGAATATTATAGTTGTAAGTATATAGTTGAATATATAATATTGTTAAACTTTATTAAATGATATAGTATATTATATGATATATTGTAGGAAAGATTAAATGCAGAGGCCATTCTGAAATATGGAGAGGATACAACTACATGGCCAACTGCAGTTGATGCCAGCTCTTGTCCCAAGTTTCGAGTGGACCTTCAAAAGTGTAATAACTCAAATTTTAGTAGAGTTTTATTTTAATTTTATTTTTATTTTAACTAATATGTTTTGTCTTTATTTTACTTGTTAGGTTCATTCAAAGAAAAAAAGGGGGGGGAAGGAAATTTTACGAAGAAGATTGGAAAAAAAGATGAGAAAAAGGACTCAATTGAAGAAATGAAAAGTTGGAGGGGTGAAATGCAAAGTCTAGCCCAAAACCCATCAAACCCAATCCAAAACCCACCAAACTCAAGCCCAATTACCCAAAACCCAAAGCCTACCAACTACCCAAACCCAAAATCCCAAAACCAAAAATTACCCAAAACCCAAAACCTACAATTACCCAAACTCTACCCAACACCAACCCATTTTAACTTAAAACCCAATTATCCAAAGAAAAGAAAAAAGGGAGGGGGGAATAAACTAAAAAAAAAAAGGGGGATCTGGAACCCTCTCCTTCCCCATCAATCTTTTCTCTCTTCTGCAACCGAGCCAGCCTACCCCCCTGCACCGAGCCTTGCTGCACCCTTGCTGCACCCCTGCTACTCTGCCTCTGCACGCTACAGCAACTCCAGATAAATTAGCATTAATATTGATTGACAGAGCAAGGCTTTTTTTTTTTTTTTTATCTTTATTTTATCTTTTATTTGGGTATATATATAGAGAAAAATCAGATTGAAAGGGGGGTTGGAGATTGATTTTGGCTGTTTGATTTTGGGGGTTGGAGATTGATTTTGGCTATTTGATTTTGGGGGAATTTGATTTTTTCTTCTTGGTTGATTCTGGGGTTCTCTTGGTTGTTCTTTTTGGTCTGAGTTTGGGGTTGCCGGAGGTGAGAGCAAGAGAAAGGAGATCACCGGAGGAGACTATGCATTTCCTTGGTTTTTGTTGCCTTAGGTAAACTTTTCTGATCAGAGGAGGTTTTGGGGGGAGGGTGGTGAAGGAAAGGTTGGAGCTTGATCCCGTGGGTGGGATCCCTCCTTCCGATCCTGATCTGTTTTTCTTCCAAAATTTTCGCCATGGTTGTTTTAATTTCTTTGTGTTGATGTACTGCATTTGTATTTGAGGTTGATATCGTGAATGAAATCAAGCATTTTCTTTTTAATTTCATGGATCTGAAATCAATTGGATGTATGTCTATTCTTCTTTGTTTGTTTTGGTTGAACAGCTGAATAGTTAGCCTTAAGTTCCATTTCGTTTCTTTCCAAATTCCCTTTAATGTTCGACGTTTGATCTGTTTTTGCATGTTGGATGAATGTATATTTCTGCTGGAAATGACATGAACTCTAGTTTTTCTGGTTTTGTCTGCATGTTTTAATCTTTTCTTTGCCTATTTTCTCACTCGAATTATGTTTGTGGGTTGGGTTGACCCGACCCAATCCAATAGGTTAATTAAAAAAAAAAACTAAAAAGTTTAAAAAGTAAAAAAAATTTAACTAATAATATAAAATTATTAATTAATTAAAAAGGTTAGTTTAATTTATGATTAACTAAATTAATTAATTTTAATTAAAATAAATTAATCATATTTATTGAGTTTGATTTGAGATGATTAGATTTATTTAGTTATCTCAATTAATGATTAGTAAATATGATTAATTAATTTTAATTAATATTAAGTTAATTATTTAATTAGGTTAATTATTTTTGATTAATTAATTTTAATTTTCAATTAACTTTAGTCTTGGTCAAAGTCAAAGTTATCTTTTATTTTATCTCAATTTCATCCATAAGTCTTATGATTAAGCAATTTAGTTCTAGAGTTTCAAATCTTTTCAAATCAGTCCTTCATGTTTTCAAATTTAATCAAATTAGTCCCTTTAATTTTATTTGTGTTTGTGATGCATGCTTGTCTTTGATTTTGTCCATTTTAGTCCAAAAATTTTAAAAATGTTTCAATTTGGCTTATCTTTCTATCAAACTTACCTATTAAGACTCAAACATAAATATAATAAATAAGTTGAATTAAAACCCCAATTTTAAAGTATGCAACCGTGCTTAAACGGAGGATTGTGAGGTGCGCGTATGCCCTTCCTCATTCCTAACCGAACTCCCGAACCCCGATCTTTGCGCAGACCCGTTTTAGGTGACTTGTCCCACCTTATAATTTGGATGAGTGGCGACTCCCTTTTCTTTTATATTTTTACACTTAATGATTTTCGATTTATTTTGAAAAAAATCTTAAGTGGTCATCAACAAAAAGATGGGCGACTTTATGGCATGCCTATATACATGGATCCTGAGGAGCAAGGGGTCTCACATCGCAAGCACCCGCTGCATACCATACCTGATAATTCTGTTCAGTCATCCCAACGGGTGGTCCAATTGCAACAGACTGTAACAGAATTACAAGATAATCAACTGACATTACAAGAAAAGGTTGAGAGGATGGAGAGAATGTTTTTTATGATGCAGGGAGGGATGCAGGGAAGGATGCAAGGAGGAATGCATGGAGGGATGCAGGGATGGATGAAGGGAGGGATGCAGGGATGGATGCAAGGAGATGGAAGGTCTGGGACAAGTGGGGGAGCATAATTGGCATTGTTTTCACTCAATTGATCTTTATATCAAAACATCTTCTATTATTATATATGAAATGGACATGTATGAGATAGGGGCATAGTGCTGTAATTAGCTAGTATCTTAGATTAAAACACTTTAATTATGATATTAGGTTATGTTTTATAATTATGTGTTTTTAGATAAAGTTTTCACTTATATATTTTAATTTACATTTAAAACATATGGGTAATTACTTGGTATAGTTTTTTAATTAAGTTATTTATATAATTTAGATAAAAAAGTTTGAAACAAATTAACTAAAAAAAAAGGAAACGTCAAAAAATAGGAAATATAATAACAATTAGGGGATAGATTAACCTATTGGAAACAAACAAATTAAATTATTTGTCATAATAATTATTTGGTCAAATTGTGAGAACAATTAGGGGGAAAATCAATGCATTATTTCGGTCAAATTATTTGACCGAACTAGGGCAATTATTTCGGTCAATTTCAATGACCGAAATATGTTGGCCATAGCAATTGAACCACCATTGCACAATTTTAGGGGAGGACACTATGTCCATTTATTTCGGTCAAGTGCCTTGACCGAAATAAAACACACAGTACCAGCCCTCTTCTGCTGAAGTATCAATGGAGATATATTTCAGTCAATTTTATTGACCGAAATAAGTTGGCTAGTAGCAGACCCGCCATTTCACAATTTCAGGGGAGCACACAATGTCCATTTATTTTGGCCAATGTACTTGACCGAAATAATATGCACAGTACCACCAACCCTCCTCTATCAATGGGGATATATTTCGGTCAAGTTTATTGACCGAAATAAAATGACTAATAATCAACCCCTTCCAGCCCTTTCGTGAGTCAGTGCAGTATTATTGCCAATATTATTTCGGTCAAAATTATTGACCGAATAAATCAAAGAAAAAATCAACACCAATCTGGCATACAGGCGATACGGTTGTCAGTTTGATTTGTTCAGTCAATTTAGTTGACCGAAATAATTGGCAAATTTTTTTTCCTCAATTGTTTTGGTCAAAAGTTCTAATTCGCCGAAAATTTTCAGTTCTGTGATGATGGTGATTTATAGTTTTGAAATCAGATTCCCCTCTTTCTAATGCATTTCTGATTTTCTTTAAAGTTGAGGTAAGTATATATTTTCAACTTTCTCACAAACTCCACTTCTTCATACTTATGCAATTTTTTTACAGTTTCTCGATAATTCTTTGGGTGAAACCAAAGACTAATTAAGAGTTGCTGCTACTTGCTGTGGCGTTAATTTAGTTGCTTTTGGAAATTTTGAGTTAAGAAAGGTATGAGTACTACAATCTTCCTCCTTTTTTCATTTTTCGCTCTTTTAGTTGACAATTTTTTAATTAATTTTTGCCATCAATTTAATTTTAAATACAATTATGATGGATTAATCAATTGTGTTTAACCACTTTGTGTCTCGATCTATTATTCTATCATGTTAATTTGGGTTGATGTTAATTAAATTTTATGTTTTTATTTTTAAAAAATATAAATTATTAAAAATCGCAAGATTTTTAATAATTTAAATGTCTTATTTGTTATTGTATCATAATTTTCATTTTCATTGTTATGGTTTTTACATATTTGTGAGTGATTAATTGATTTTATTTAGACTTAGGAATCGTGGTATAAATTTGTCATTTCTAGGGTATCTATCTCACTCAAATAAGTAATTTCTCCTTCATTTTTATGAAATAAAAGTATGCCAAACTACATTAGAGTAGATGTATAAATTTTTTCCTTTATATTTTTTTTAGAAATTTAGTTTAGAAAAAAATAAAAAAAAAATTATGATTAGTAGTTGGTAATGTATGATTAAATAAATCAAATTAATTTTCATGAAATAATGATTTATTATGCAATTGATTGATGACTTTTAGTAATTAATTGATTGATTCAAGTATGTAGTGATTATAGTATTTTATTGCGAAGTAAACTACAATTTATTAAATTATTTGATTGCTAAAAAAGGATAATTATAATTGATTGATTAATAATTCATAATTATATATTTAATTGCTAAGTAAATTATGATCAATTTAATAACTTAATCAATTAAAAAATTATGATATAATTATTTACTTGAATGATAAATAAGTATCATCATAATATTTAATTAATTTATTATAAAATTACTATGTGCTAAATGTACAGTTAACATTACTTTTAGAGCAAAATGGATAGTCAAGACCGCTTTGATAGCCAGATGGACAGTCAACCATATTTTGACAATCAAATAGACAGTCAACCATACTTTGACAGTCAAATGGATAGTCAACTATACTTTGATAGCCAAATGGATAATCAACTATACTTTGATAGCCAATATGATGGTATAATTTCTTTTTCCTTTTCCCTCCCATAATTTTTTATTTCATGTTGCTGCATACCATTTACTAACAAATTAATTAATTTAATGTTAATTTACATAGGAATTGTTGAAGATACTCCTAAAGCATTATAGGATTGTCCATCTCGAAGTTCTCCAAGGAAGAAGTTGATAAACGCAAGGAATCATATAGCAATGCCTCAAGACATTCCATTGCCTAAAAATGAAGACAACATTATTTGCCAAATATGTGATATTCCTGGACATTTAGCTACCATATGCTCGCATCGATATGCAGTAACTTGTCAATTGTATAACCATGAAGGTCATGCTACAAAGGTTTGCCCAAATCATTACCAATCAGAAATCATGTCAAACTCATCCGAAACACCTGCTGAGTCCTCTAAAAATGTTACAAAGATCTTAGGTAATGGTCGTTTGTGTCTAACATTTTAAAAAAAATCATGGGATGCGGCATGCGAAAAAGTACATTCCATTCAAGAATTGTAGTTTATTTACCAAACTTACCTATATTTTGTAATATATTTTCTAATTTGCCTTATCCATGTATGAGATTATGATCGGACATAGCACTTTAATTAGTATTTTATGTCATGACATTTTAATTATAATATTAAGTTATTTTTTATATTTATGTATTTTAATTACATGTTTTAATATATGTTTAGAATTGAATATAGAACCTTATAATTGTTAAAAACTTTATCTAAAAAAGTTTTAAACAAATTAAGTAAAAAAATAAGACTTAACAACCTATTTCGATCAAGTAAATTGACCGAAAAATGGCAACATGATATCCCACGCCCTGGTTAACAATTGATCTTAAATTTAGTGAAATGATTAATTCGGTCAAATCTCTTAACCGAAATAAGGGAAAAAAAACAAAATCAAAATAGGATCTCGCTGGAAAAATTTGGGAAAATTTTGAAATTCCCTCTACATTAATTCGATCATATATTTTGACCGAATTAGAAAGATATTCCCACTGGTTTATTTGGGGGAAAGTGTTTGAAAATTTTGAGCCATTTATTTTAGTCAATATAATCGACCGAAATATGCCATGCACATTTATAAATATCATGGCTCACTCTTGCCATTTGTTATCAATCTTTTATTCGTTTCTTTCTTGTCTTCTTTTTCAAATTTAACACTTTTCTCAATCTTTTAGTTCTCATAATTATAGTTAATTTTCTTTCATTTTTCATTAAATCTTATTTATTAGTTATTAATCAATACTTAGCTTTAATTTTTTTTCTTCCAATATATTTAAATTCTTTAGTTTTTTTCCTTTATATTATGTTATATTATTATCTATTCTCTTTACCAATTCTCCTTTTACCTTTATTTTTCTTTACTAATTTTTCTTTA